CTGTGTGGTCGTGGTATTGCACCGGGCGAGCCGGCCCATTCGTGCGAAGATGTTAAAGCGGGCTCTACCACTGTTGATGTGTTGGAAATCTCGGAATTTGTTACCTTATCTAACAGTGACGTCATTTTTAAGCTATCTAAGCCTCTAACAATCAGTGGTGGGACAAGCCCTATGTCTCGCTTTGACTCCTATGACCTTGGAGGTGCGGGCATTACTCGATTTTTAGAAGTGCAACTAAACAGTTAAATTGGCAAAACAATCGACAATCGCACGATAATAATAGGTACAAAATTTACCCATCAGGATGATCTTTCCATGAGAAATATTGCTCTTCGTGCGTCACTCCAGACCTGAACTGACGTCTGCATTTCTGACTGTGAACGAAATATATATTGTTATTTTACATATTATAGAAGAAAAACTTAAATACTAATAATCTCATAGGTGGATAGATGGAAGAGAGTAAAAAATAACAATAATATAGGTTTAAGATCTGTAACTCAATAATGTAAAAAACTAAGAAAATACTAGTCTCAAAGATCATAATAGTTGTTTTGTCAAACAAAAAGAAGGTGGTTTTTACCATATTAATATGAACTTACTCGATTTCCTTATAGATGGCGCAAGATATGAACTGCCTGTTCTTAAAGACGCTCGTGTAAAGGAAGGGGCCATAGCATTTGTTCGAGTTCTCCTTGACAAGGCAGGCGGAGATGACGCCGATAACAATAGCGTTAGAACCTGTGCCGTAGACCAAGGGACCGCCGTGATCGTTCTGGAAAATTTTAAATTAGTCAATAATGACATTTGCATTATTTTATACAAAATAAGCTATTTAAAGTATTACCAAAAAGATATGGTACAACATGTATACATGTACACATGTATACAACATATTGAAATTTAATCTTCATAGAAAACATCATCAGGTTACTATACATCCCCACTGAGGGGCTTGAAGTCTGCCCTAACTGAGGGATGTCTATACGCTACGTCTATACGTACTAATACGATATGTCTATACGTCTAGCACGCTGGCACACTGCGGGTTGGTTGACTTCACACATCTCATCATCTTTCTCCTTATCCTACTCCCGTAGTGGCGCAGCAGGTTTTTGTCCTCCACATAACTCTATCATACGTCATCTCAGTCATCACTCCCTTTTTGATCATGTCACCTTTTACGCAATCCATCCATATCTTTCTATGTCAACGTCTAGCGATGTACCCTTCCACACTTGTTGACTCTACACATATCTTTGAATTTCACCGCCATTTTCAGGTTACATCACGATGTTTTCTTTCATTCATAAAAATTGATATCATTAACCAATACATTTAAAGCCATTTACAAGCAATAGACTTTAAGAAGACTATTTCGTCGATTGACTATCAAATATTCATATTTATTAAAATCGTGTCTTACCTCACAAAATCCACCTTCGAGTCTACCATTCGCAAAACCTCTCCTGTCCACAGGATCATTGCTTAAAGTCTCGTTGTGCATAGCGGAGTGCATTGTGAAATTAGCTGGGACTTTGCCGGTTCTTAAATTAATATCTTTACGTCTCATATCTTCCTCTGAATAATCAATGTCTTCGCAGTCGACGTACTTTTCCTAAAGAGTAGAAATTAAATACACTTTCTTATGTTAGCATTAGAAACGTTTCTGATTGTATATGAATACAATCAGAAATGGGTATGAACCCACACTACTTCATGGAACCCTTTCTTAGAGAGTCGGATCTGGATGAAATTTAGGCTAGAGACAACTAGATTACTCTCCGAGCAGCATAACAGCCATTCCAGCTTTTTTATAACTTGTGCTTACATCTTAAAATTATTAAGAGGGGGCACACACCTTTGACTAAACTATCTCACAACTGTTATGCGATTGCTGATTGTCGATTGTTTCGCAGCCAATTCAACTATTTAGTTGCACAACTAAATATGTAGTAATGTGCGTACTTCTAGTAATACTACGTAATGTGCGTAGCTCATAAGAATCAAAGCGCGACTAAAGAGTTGTGCGATAGTTTAGTTGAAGATGTGCGCGCTCTAAAACTTACATTACACATCTCAGACATAGACTGTCCGATATCCTTGGTGCATATCATGTAGTTTTCTATGATGTTGTGATAACGCGCGCCCCAACGGCGCTTGCATCTCGCCTTTGATATTATCTCAACATTAGCTTCTAGAAGTGTCTGCTGATTGTAAGTTCTGCGGTTCACCCACTGTAAAACAGTAAATATATTAAAAATCAATTTTACACTACATTTAAACGTTTCTATTTGTGGAAGGAAGGATTCTGGTTTAAAAAATATAGAAAACAAGTATCTTACGTCATTGTATTTCGAAGTTGTCCCCCAGCCAGCGATCTGACCGAAGAGACCAGGATTCTCCATGGCATGGCTCTGGTTGTTGAAGCTGATGGGTCTCGGCGTGAATTCGCAGCCGCGAACTCGCCTCGTAAAGTCAAAACCTTCCTCTATCTTGACGATCGCTATGTCATTATTCATCCATCTAATATTGTCGTTCTCGTGGCCATCGAATACATAATCTGAGAACAAAACACATATATAGTTTATTCAAACGTGTTAGCACACTCTCGAAGGTTTATTATATTTGAATACTTCGCTTACTTTTCGGTATACATTTCCACGTTGCCTTTTTAGCACCATTTTTAATACAAGAACTGCTGAATCTATCGTCATCTTCCGAGTACCTGAAAAACGTATACAACTAAAATGCCCGGTCTACTCTCGGTCAGTACAGTTGGTCAGTAGCGTTCAATAACTGGTCTGGCAATCAACTGGCATAGTGTGAACTAAACGGCGCCAGTGAATGCAAACAATTTATGATTGGCTCTTGCAACTATCCGTGTCAAGTGTGAACCGGGCATATTTGTCTTCGGGAAGGTCAACTGTTTCAAGCGCGCCTGAAACGGTCACAGATTACCTATATCTTTCCGAGCTACCGACAAAAGAGTTTGATAATTGTATTTGCCAGTGTCCAGCAACAAGCTTTATTTATACTTATCACTATTATTATTTAGTAATATTCTAAAGAGGAAAGATTTGTGTTTTTGTATGTATTAATATAACTCAAAAACTGCTGGGTTGATTTTAAAAATTCTTACACCGTTAGAAAGGCAATTTATCTGTTAGTATCATACGCTATTTTTTTTATTTTTTTTTTTAATTTTACACAGATGAAGTTGCTAGCAACAGCAACAATATATTTCGTTTTTCAGTTACCTATACGTTCCTGATACAACGTAAAAGTGTTGGGCGTCTTGAATACACGCAGCTGATGTCAGGATATATTCCTCATGGAGTATAACGCCACCGCACAGCCAATTACGATAGTTTGCTAGTTTCTTGTTGCTTCGAGGCATCTTTAGATATACCTAAAGTTATAGAACGTATTAATTAGTAAGAGCTTGCGCACATCTGAAACTGAACTATCGCACAACTGTTTAGTCGCGCTTTGATTCCTACGACCTTATATGGAGGTGCGCACACTACTCGATTTTTAGTTGTGCAACTAAACAGTTGAGTGGGCTGCGAAACAATCGACAATCGCACAGCAGATGTGCGTTTTTTTAGTCAAAAGTGTACCAGCACTCTTATCTGTCAACACTAGTCTTATCATGCTTTGAAAGATCTAAACATGGTGCTAAAATAATCTATAACCTGCTTAAATTTGTTTTTTTTAAATAAAAAGAAGTTATCCACTACTATGTAGGTATGATAGCATTCCTTAAAGAAAATGTATTCTATGATACTCATCTTTAAAAGTTACTGAATTATGAGTTCTTGCATTTCATTGTAGTCATATCTTTCCTGTCTTCAGTATATGTTTCTATCTAAGTATTATATTAATGAATAAGTTATAAACTAACCATATAAGGCTTTCCATCTGTAACTTCTGTCCCTTGAATAATTCGTCGTGTGTTATTTAAAATATGTTCTACTTTTTCTGGTAATTTCGTTGCCGTTTCTATACATTCAACACTTACAACTGAAAGAAATAAATTTAATTATTAATTTTTAACATACATTTATTAAATTTAATATAGATAATTATGTTCTTTACCTAATATTAAAACAATAAAAGAATTTAAAATATAAAAAATCATTTTTCTTTTTCCTACATTCACGATGTTTTTATTAACAAATCTGATTAGAAATCAAATAATAATTGGTAATTTTTCGCCATGAACCTGACTTAACTAACGCGTGACTTTTTATTAGTTTTGCTGTCGCACTCAGAGTGGAAAAGTCTTCCTTAGTAGGATGTCTCTTAAAAATAAATTAACAACAGAAATTTAACTGTCAGTCCGAAAGTTAGCTTATTATCTTTTAGGCAGTAGCTTTTAACGATTTTATGTAAGATTACGACTTGATTGGTAATTAACTGGTTAGAATTTTTTATAGTTTAGGTAAATATTACTATTACTATTGCCTTCCACGTCAATAGAGGTACTAAATTGAGTCTGTAATTGGCATTTGGACTTAACATACACGTGAAAAGGATAGTAGGACATTCAACAATTATAAAAATAATGTTTTTACAAAAGTATATTTTTACAATACGATACGTATATTATCTAAACAAATAGGTAGAAAATTTTTATTTCTTTCCTCTATCATTAAAGACAAATATTTTTTTACGTGCCAGTTATACTAAAGGGCTGTTCCACCAAATTGTAAATTGTTTAATAACAATCCATGTGTTGGAAATATCGGATTTTGTCGCTTATCTGATAGTGATTTCATTTTTAAGCTATCTGAGCCTCTATCAGCCGATGTTGGGACAGTCCCTAAGTATTTTAAAACATTTAGCAACTATCCATAGCCGGTTTTAAGGAATCAAGGCACAGTTTCTTTTAAATAATATAAACCGTAAATATGAACAATTTTATTTCAAAAACATACTTAGTATTTAACAAATTTATTGCTATGATCAGCCATCGATTACGTAAGACTTTTATTATAACTTTCTCTTGATGTTTTTTCACTTTTCCGCCGCATTGGAAATGTCTTTGTCTCATAACTGATAAGAAAAAAATATTACAAAATACTTAAATTGCAATAATAATATATTTTGTGCCACCTTTTAGTAGAGTAAAAGTTTTAGATGTGACATAAAATATAAGAGTTATCAACTCTACTTTGTCAAAAACATTTTTTTCAAACTCTGAATTGGGGAAATTGTTACTCGTATCCATCTCTCAGAATAAGAAGTTTTTGAATACGAATGATTTAATTGTTTATTTAAGAATAGCTGTTCCCGTGCGACTTCATCCGCATAAAATTATGAAAATTTTATTTTATTGTTTACATTTGTCAAATTATTAATAGCAAATGTCAAAATGACATGACGATGACAAACCATGGCAACCTTGCTTCCTTGATGTTGACAGCAATTTATGGTCTCTTTCCCACATTAGGGTTTTTATCCAAAATATTTACCCCCTAAGTTTAATGGCGTGAAAACATATAGTCTAAAGCGTGACTTAAGTGTAGGGCTTTTTATTAAAAAAGGAATTATTCAAAAATATGCTGTAATTGCTGACATCTTAGGCAACAAAGAAGTGTGTATTTACGCTTTATTATAATAGTATAGATAATATTTTTAAGAATCCTACCTTTCGTTCGGCTCTAATTCTTCATCTTCCCAATTTAAGTCAATCTCAATAAAAGTGTCATCGGTTCTGAATACTTTGCAGTTAACGCTGGAATAGGAAATTATCTCAATTTGCATACAAATGATAGCTACAAAAAGATAATATACTAAGAGCCTGTCTCACTAAATTGTAAATTGTCTGATAACAATCCAACGTGAAAAATCCCCTTATCTGACAGTAGCGTTATTTTTAAGCTATTAGCCAGTGGTGGGACAGGCCCTTAATAATAAATCCATCAAAGTAAAAACTCATGGCAACTAAATTGTTACTGACAAAATGTATTTGCTAATTTAAAAAAAACATCTCTAATTTAATTAAGCTTATTTGAAAGGTTTAAAGTAGAGATTCAAAAAGTATATAGAGGAGGCATCGACACTTCATTTGAAAAAATTTTCACATAATATTAGTGGCGGTCTATCATATTTTATTTTATAACAAAAGATAATTTTGTAAAACGAGATGGCACTAAACTTGACAACTATAGTACCTTTCAGAGAAAGCACCGGTGAAAAAGTTCAATGCCTTGTCTACATATTTTATGTCTTTGGTTCAAAGATAGATCAAGTGTCACGACAATCTATTTGTAAATTTTCCAATTTACTTGGGATCCTTGAAGAGGGCGCAGTTAATAAGTTTCCTGTTTTTATAGACGCTGGTGTAGAGGAAGGGGCCGTAGCATTTGTTGGTAGCCTCCTTGACGAGGCAGGCGGAGATGACGCCGATAACGACAGTGTCGTGACCACTACCGTACACCAGAGGTCCACCGTGATCATTCTAACGAAGAAAGACCTACGTTAGTCTTTTCATGAGGAGAGTAAAGAATACAATTGGGATGATATTTATAGTGGCTGATTTGTCATGAATGTCTACAAGAACTAGAAAATCAGCTCATCATCATCCACTTGCCCTTATCCCTTACGGAGGGTCGACACAGTATGTGCTGCTCTTCCATACATCTCTATCAGCCGTCATATCTGAATCCACTCCTTTCTTAAGCATATCCTCTTTCACACAATCCATCCATACTTTCTTCGGTCTTAACTAGAAAATCGGCTAACTAATATTTTCTATACATTTTATTTTACATTTAAATCAAGATAATCATAATGTTTAAAAGCATGCACATATATAACTAAACTATCGCACAACTGTTTAGTTTGGTTTTGATTCCTATGAGTTTATTTGGAGGTTCGCTCACTACTCGATGTTTATTTGTGCAACTAAACAGTTGAATTGGCTGCAAAACAATTGACAGTGGCACGACAGTTGTGCGATAGTTTAGTCAAAGGTGTGCGCCCGCTCTAAAGATAGCAAATCCTAAATATGAAATTGCATAATAGGATTTATCGATTTAAAACTAAACCAGATTGTATATCTTACTAACTTTGAGTGCGGCAGTAACATTTTTACCAATATTAAGAACTAGCTTTCGCCCGCGACTCCGTCCGCGTAGAATTAAGAAATACAAAAGCCTATGTGTTTTTCCAGACTATCCTCTACGTCTATACCAAATTTCATCGTGATCCGTTCAGCCGTTTAGGCTACAAAATCTAACAAATATCCATTCATCTATCCATCCATCAATCCATCTAAACTTTCACATTTATAATATTAGTATGAAGTATGATTACCTCACAGAAACCACCGCTCCAAGAATTTACCCGTTTTCTTCCATTATAATCGTGAAATGCTGAATGTACCAAGCTCTCACTTGCCATGTCTCTACGTTTGCCGCCATATTCCCCAGAGTACATAATATCAGTGCAATCAACGTATTTATCCTGAAAATTAATATGAAAATTTTATGAGAAAACGTGACTGTAATATTTTAACTAGATTTGTAATTTTTATTTATTATTCCAAAGCGTTAAAAAAGAAAGTAAATTAAATATTTTGAAGATAATAAAAGAACATCAAAATGTAATTCACCTTCAATATTGAAACCAAAACTTTGTAAGTACGCCTTTAATTTTTGACCGACTTCCCAAAAGAAGGAGGTACTCAATTCGTCGATTTTTTTTTATTTTTTTTATGTATCTTACGGCATAACTCCGCCACTAGGGGACTGATTTTGATAAATTTTTTTTATCCGAAAGGTAATGCTTGCAGGTGGGTCCCATTTTTTTGTTTTATTTTTGGAGTCTAAGACTACGACGTAGTTAAATAGTTTATTTTCGGTCGATTGTTTCGCAGCCAATACAACTGATTAGTTGCACAACTAAATATTGGGCGCACCTCCATATAACTGTTTTGCGATAGTTTATTCAAAGGCGTGCTCTTACGTAAAATTGTCACAGGTTAGTCTAACACAGAGGTAACAAACTTATATTAAAATGATACATACGTCACACATTTCGCTGAGCTGTGCGGTAATATCCTGCGTACAAATCATGTAGTTCTCAATGATGTTGTGATAGCGCGGGCCCCAGCGACTCTTGCAGACAGCTTTGGATATCAAGATCACATTGGTTTCCAACAGCGCTTGTTTGGTACTGCCGCTTCGAGCGTTTATCCACTGTTATTAAAATTAGTATTGTGAGGCACGTATTGTCTTATTTGAACGAAACAATACTGTTTAAAATACATATAGAGTAACTACTATTCTTTTGCATGTGTGTTTAAAAGCATTGAAAACAATTTCAACGGTTATCTTACTGATATTATAAAACGAGAGTGTAGATGGATGGTTGTTTGTTTGAGTTAGTAGCCTAAACAGCTGAACGGATTTCGATGAAATTCTGCATAGATGTAGAGGATAGTCTGGAACAACACAGGCTACTTCCTTTTTTTTATAAATTCACACATTATAATTTCAATCAAGCAACGGAACGTGAATCTAATTTCAAATACAAGATTTAATCCAAATAAACAGAGAAATTAAAGTATTGACTACTCTTAAAAATGAAAGATAGAGTTGAAGACAATTTAATTTAAATCATTGTACTAATTTGTAGGCTAGATGCAAACTCGATAATGCGATGCAAAATAAAAATATTGCATAATTTATTTTACGTTAACAAGAAGTTAATGTTACGATTCTCGAAGCAAGATTGCCGTTTGTTTCATTATCATAGAAAAAACAGAGACAAAAAGAATAGAATTTACATACATCGCTATACTTATCTGTGCTCCCCCATCCAGCAACAGAAGCGATGTTACCAGCACTTTCGTAATGTTCACTACGATTGTTATACGCGATTGGTGCGGGTATGAAATCACAACCACGCATCCGACGGTCGAAATCAAATTCATCTTCAACTTTCACGATTGCCAGGTCATTGTTCATCCAACGAACATTATCGTTCTCGTGACCGTCGAATATGTAATCTAGAAACAAATACATAAATGAAAGTTAAAAGTAACCTCATTAGAATTAGATGATAAGAGCGGGTGCTTTGCCTAAACTATTGGATAATTGCTGTGCGTTTGTCGATTGTTTCGCTGTACTTCAACTGTTTAGATTCACAACTAAAAATCGAGTATCCCTTCGCTCTTATAGTTGTGTTGGAGTATGTTGCGTTGTAGTTAAATTGGAGGATTGATGGATGAAAATATTAGTTAATTCTTACTTCTAGGTATGCATTTCCATACTGCTCTTTTCGCACCGTTTTTGAAACACGCATTGGTGTACTCCTCTTCACCTTCATAAAAGCTGTAACGGAAAATACACCTAATTACTATAACAATAAAGTCTATTATATATTTAACTATGAGAGAGAGACTAAGGAGAAATCAAAATATATCGAAAAACATGATGTATTGATCGATTTCCAGATCGAATCGCAACTTGCTTCGATCAGCAAAACTCTCAGAGGAGACCAAATAATAGGACCTTAGGTATGGTTCAATATAAACTGGTTTATCCTCACGTAAACGTTCCAGAGACGACATAGAAATGCTTGACATCCTCAATGCAGGCTGCAGAGGTCAGGATATACTGTTCGTGTATGATCACACCGCCGCACAGCCAGCGACGGTAGTCTCCCTGCTTCGGATATTTCTTCGGAAGCTTGAGATACACCTAGAACAAAGATATTTAACTTACATTTTTATATATAACTTTATAGATTTACTCACTAATAACGTAGCATTTTAATGGTAAAAGACATTTTGAAATCGCTGCAGAGATTTTTGAGTTATTTCAATACATACAAAAGTACAAATTGTTCCTCTTTATAATAGTATAGACTAGCTGTTGCTCGGGAGTTCGCCCGCGGTAAACGACAAAAATAGTAAAAACATAGCCTACGATACTCAGTGATTGAGCTTTTTAATGGTGCAAGAATTTTTAAAATCGGTCCAGTAGTTTTTGAGTTATTTCAATACATTAAAAATACAAATCTTTATAACATTAGTATAGACGTAGATGGACTTCACATTTTTAATAAAGGCTCATGTCTATATTTATATAGACATAGTATAGACGTAGATAGAAATACGTAGATAAAAATCTGAAGTCTATCTACGTCGATACTTTATATTTAAAAAAAATAGTATAAAAGAAATACCATATACGGCCTATTCTCCCGCACTTCCCTTCCGTCTAGAATTCTTCTAGTCGTATTTAAATGTTCTAATAAATCAATTCTGCCTGTGTTCTTCAATAGTTCCTTTATTTTAATAGTTTTTGTTGTACCCTCAATTAATTTCGAACCTGAAAACAAAATTTAATTATCCCTCTTCACAGTTTAAATGGAAAATATTAAGACTAGCTGTTACCTGTGACTCCGTTCATACGAAATTAAGAAAAAAACTCATTTAGTAAGCCTATGCTTCTGTTCTTCCATATTCTACACCTATACTGAATTTCCTAGATTCATACAACCGTTCTGGAATTACGTGTTAACAATCCTTTACTCTATGATAAAAAAAAACAATAGTATACTTACCTAATAAAATATAAATTATGTAAAAAAACAAGTCACTTGACATTATAAAAAATAAACATTTCATTATGGAATTTGTCCCACGTGCTATTCTAATTAAAACAATAAAATAACTCAATTTCACGGTTAAATTATTAGTAATTCTAATAGTAAAGTGATTTAAACACAACCTTAAAATAATGGAAACAATACATTTGTGTATAACAATGAAATCGATAACGAATAAGCAAAGAAAGCAAAAATGACCCTAAATTACGTCGTGCGATTTTGAACTAAACTATTCAACTACGTCGTACTCTTTGACTCCAAAAATCAAGCAAAAAAATGGGACCCTCCTGCAAGCATTACCTTTCAGATAAAAAAGGAATTATCAAAATTGGTCCACTAGCGGCGGAGTTATGCCGTAACACACATAAAAAAACACAGACGACTTGAGCACCTCCTTCTTCTGGGAAGTCGGTCAAAAATCACATTTAGGAGGCTCCTCTGAAGTACTTTGGCCCTCTCATACTTCTGTTAAAAAAAGAGACGGCATTTTTTGTAGGTGTTGCAGTAATAGGAACACTCAATATTCAATCACAATGAGTACACTATAACGTATTACGAAATATGTAATTGAATAAGGTAATTAACCTTATTCAATTACATTGTGAATTGATTTTATTTGTAATTTTCTTTGCGTTAACGCAACATAAGTTACTTAATCTAAACCTTTATAGATTATTTTAGTGTGACAAACTAGCAAGCCTGAGGATTTCGTCAAAACAGCGAAAGACTTCAAACTACATCTACATTTTATTTCGTTTTACTGTTCAGAGTTATACTTACGAGTAAGTTACTATAAAAATGAATTAAACGGACATTTTTATGTAATATATATTTTTAATTAAGAAACTCTTTATCACTAAGATTTTCTGTGCTTTCGTTTGTGTCTCTTCTATATTTCGGCACAAGCTCAGATTTTGCAGGCCTGAAATAATTAAAAAATATAAAAATTGACATTTAACAGATATAGTACACTCAAAGTAAAAATTAAGTAGTACACTTTTTAGAATATAAAATCTGTATTATAAAAAAATGTTAAAACAAAACTTTATGATCTTCCTTTTAGGATTTATTTTAGTATTTTATTATTTATTTTACTTTAAAGTATACTTCATATAAGTGTTAATACAATCTATTTTTTAATGATACACACCCATCAGGATGTCCAATCCACGAATACGTCGTTTCGATCATTTTCGTGTTTGTGGCTCTGAATACGTAACTCCGACAAACAGGGCTGAATATAAAAATACTATTATTACACTTCAATACATTTTTATAATAAAAACATAAATTCGCGGATACCATTACCCTAGACCCTAATTGTCAGTCATATCAAACTAGAAAATTCGTGAAATATTTTAAACCTCACATGGTTACTTAGGCCCTGTCCCACCACTGTCTGATAGAGGCTCAGATAGCTTCAAAATAGTATGTCTGTCAGATAAGGGAATAACCCTATATTTCCACCATTTTACACGTTAGATTCCTATCAGACAATTTACAATTTGGTGGGACAGGGGCTTAAGTTTTTTATTTAATTATTAATATTTTTTTGTCTAAAATCTCCATCTAACAACCAAAAAAAATGATCAAAATAATTGCGATGAAATCAAAAGCAAGGGACATTTGTACCCAGTAAATTTGCACGATAGTGTACAATATAATACTTACGAGACTTCCTTGTCGACTGCGCAAGTAATCATGAGGTGGTTGTTAAAGACGCTGGTGTAGAGGAAGGGGCCATAGCACTTGCGGGTGAGGTTGGTAGTGAGACAGGCGGAGATGATGCCGATCACTGTCGCGCTGTTGCCGTGGCCCACCACCAGCGGCCCTCCATGGTCGTTCTAACATAGACATAGAAAAACTTACGAAACAGATCTAACTATATTTACTATATATATATATAGCAATATAATAAAGCGTAAACACACACTTCTTTGTTGCCTAAGATGTCAGCAATTACAGCATATTGTTAAATAATTCTTTTTTTTTTAAAAGGCCCTACACTTTAGGCACACTTTTGGCTTTCACGCTATTAAACTTAGGCGGTAAATATTTTGGATACAAATATCCATATTTGTATCCAAAATATTTACCTAATGTGGGAAAGAGACCATAAGTAGCTGCCAACATCAAAAAAGTAAGATTGCCAAGGTTTGTCATGTCATGTCATTTTGACATATGCTATTGATAATTTGACAAATGTAAACAATAAAATAATTTTTTCATAATTTCATGCGGATGAAGCCGCACGGGAACAGCTAGTAAATATAATAAAGAGTAAACACACACTACTTTGTGGCGTAAGATGTCTGCAATAACATCATATTTTTGAATAATTCTTTCTTTAATAAAAAGCCCTACACTTACGTCACGCTTTAGGCTACGTATTTTCATAATTTATTCTTTAATAAAAACTTACGTCACGTTTTAGGCTACATATTATCACGCTATTAAACTTAAGGAGTAAATCAATTGGATAAAAACTCTAATGTGGGAAAAGAACCATAAGTTACAAGCTGCCGACATCAAGGAAGTAAGATGCCGTAACTTAAACTCACCCGACTTTAACTCAAAAACTACTGGGCAAATTTCGAAAATTCTTCACCATTAGAAAGCTACGTTCTCACTGAGTAACATAGGCTGGGAGTAGTCGCAAACAGCAGCTACTGTTTTATATTAAACAAGCCAATTGTAAGTACAATTTCTATTTTGGTTTAATTTAGTCCCTTAGTCCGGTTTAAAGTAAGATTTCACCTTCAGTATGTTTATCTCGTACGGCAGTTAATTACCTCACAGAACCCTCCTGTAGATAACTTAGCCCTCCTGTGTCCTGTAGGGTCGGAGTGCGCCGCGTTGTGAACATCGCCTTCTGCTTGCTGGTCTGATCTTCTGATGCCGTAGTCTTCCTGCGAGTCCACCAGTTCCTTGCATTTTACTTTATTCTGAAATTATAGACGAGCATGTTAAAAAACATTAAAGAAAATGAGTTGCTGCTACTGATAATTTAAAATCTTACTAATATTATAAACGCCAAAGTTTAGACGCATGGATGTTTGTTAGAATTGTAGTCTAAACTCCTGGACGGATCTTGATTTCGGCTTAGTTGTAAAACAAAGTCTAGAAGAACACATAGGCTACATACTTGTGTTTTTTTTTAATTCCACGCGGATGTAGTCGCATACAAAAGCTGATAATAAATACATTTTCGAATGACAGTTCTGCAATTTACTAGTTGTTGCTCGCGACTTCGTCTACGTGAAATAAAAGAAATAGTAAAAAAAATAGCTTATGATACTCAGCGGTAGCTTTTTTAATGATGGAAGAATTTTTAAAATCTCCCCAGTAGTTAATGAGTTATTTCAATACATATAAAATACAAATCTTTCCTCTTTATAACAGTATAGATTTGTTATTCTTTGATGGCCACGTTTACATAGGTAATAATAATAATAATAATAATAATAATAATAATAATAAACATTTAATCAGCTCAAAAACACATTGCAACATATTAAATACACTTGAACACAAAATACAAACGAG